CCGACGTTCAGATTCGCTCAAGGTACATTTTGTCTCTTTATTCACTACGCCTACCATCTCTATCCCCTCGCGTGCAAGCCGTCTCCTCTAGGGTTTTCAGACTTTGATGTTTAACACTTGATCCCATGCCTTGCAACTTTAGCATACTACAATCAAGATGTCGGCTCGTATATCGTAAGTACTTCCTTCTCGATACAGCTTCCTGACAAGCCCTCGGAGACAACTGCGTCAGAAAAGCCGCGCGCCCCTCGCAAGACGACGCGGTGGCCTCCAGCACCAGACCTGAAGGGTGCAAAGTACGTGGAAATCCACTCACCGTGCTAGGTCCCGGGTTCACTCGCTCTAATAGGTGGGTTCATGCGCGCAAATGGTACACGGATGCCCATGGCACACTGGAGGCCTTCGAGGTGCACTACAAGACTCTGAGTTCCTCGTATCACAGGTAGGTCTCCCGCACTCTGTTCCTGTGTCTGCTTGATTAATTTGTCTTCGCAGAAACTCGGACGTGTTGCTCCCTCGTTGACGGTACGTGAGGAGCACCGCTATTGATTCCCATTGCTGAACTCTTCTGATGAGGCCACCTTCAGGTTATCCCCAGTCTCGCAATCGGGCGCGTTCAAGTCGAACGTTGGAGGCATTGGCCTCCCACCTGTTTCAGTGGCTCGCAAGGTGGGCGGCTCCCATGCCAGTGGGATGAAAGGCTACTCCTGTCAGTATTCCACATATCCAAACATTTCCAGTCTGCTCCCGCTCTATTCTGTAGTTCTCGATTGTAGCTGTATATAGCACCGTGTAGCCATACGTTCCCATACGACCGTATACAGTATAGATTGATTTGTATTCAATGACACATATCGACAACAACCATCCCTGCCCAACCAGACCCGAGTGCGACCCGAGCGTAACCAGCCGCACCCAATAACACACAAACTGACCCGATGTATGGTCGTATGGCATTGTGCGACCATACAGCCTTATCCGACCGCATACAGCCGAAGTGGGGATATGCACGGAAGTTCGTATTATTTCGGGGTTCCCTACTGCATACCGTACTAATCGACCTAATACAGTAGAGACCATGTCGATTCTCACTGGGGGTCAACACGTGATCTAGGCGACCGAGCGCTTGTGGGGTCGCACTAATCACGTTGATTGGGACCAGCAGCTATGGATGGCCCGACTATTTGTGTATGCCTAGGTAGAAATTGTATAGAATTGAAAGAGCATTTTTTGAGGGGAGAGTGAGCGGAAGGTGTCAGATAATGTGAGCTGGAGACAACAGAGGTTGGAAGTATCAAATACTTCAACTCCGTCAGCGGTAGAAACTATTCGGACTGAAGCATTTTTCGACTCTTCTACCGGACAAATAATATTGTGAGCGTGCAGCTTCCTCCCGCACTCGCTATTCCCTCACCCCCCTGACTACCTCCATGCACTAGCAAGACGGCACCGCCTGGGAGCACCGATGACGAACCTGGTTTCCCGTATGCAACCCTGGTCAACTTGACCGGATGTCCCTCCAGACCAGCGTTGTTCGCCTGCCTACAGAACCTTCCGTTTGGAGCGAGCACCAGTGATAATGTAAATCGAGCGTGGCTAATGCTGTATTCAGAACCTCAACAACATCTCAGTTGCCATGACTAACGAAGTACTGAACGATCAGCTGTCACGGTGGCAACCAACAGTAGGCCGCTGGGCAACTGTT